TCATTAAGGCTGAAAAAGAAAATCCAGGTCTCACACAAGACATCATTATGAAAATTTTAGAGAGAAAAAGTGTAGAAGTTAATTTCACAGAGTCCCTTCTTCGAATGGCAGCTGATGATATAGAAGAGTATATGACTGAGCAACCAGAGCCAGAATTCCAGGATCTAAATGAAAAGGCATGAACACTTAAACAGATTCTCAGTAAGATCCCAGATGAGATCAATGACAGAGTGAGGTTTCTGCAGACAATCAAGGATATAGCAATAAAAGAACTTCTTGATACAGTGAATAATGTCTTCAAGAAATATCAATACCAAAACAGCAGGGCACTTGAACCAAAAATAAAGAATTTGTAAAGTACTCCAAAAGTTTCAGCGATACTCTGAAAACGTATTTTAAAGATGGCAAGGCAATAAATATGTTCATAAGTGCCAACCGACTAATTCATCAAACCAACTTGATACTTCAGACCTTCAAAACTGAAAGTTGAATATGGTGAGAGATGTACTTCTCAGTGGCAGTGTTAAACTGCCTTAATCTGTAAATTAAAGTTTGTATAAATTATCAGTCCCTCCTGAAGGGATCTAATCCAGGATGTTGAATGGGATTATCGCCATTTTACACCATATTTTTGTAAAACGTAGTTTAATCATAATCTCACACTGAAGATTTTGCATCACTTTTCGTATTATCATTATTTAAAGAATTATAAGCCAAAAGAATTTATGCCTTAATGTGTCATTATATAACATTCCTTAAAAGAATTGTAAATAGTGGTGTTTGTTTCTGACATTTTAACTTCAAAGCGATATGCTGCAAGATAATGTATTTAACAATATTTGGTGGCAAATATTCAATAAATAGTTTGCATCTGTTTAAAAAAAAAGAAGGCACCTTAGTCTTTTATTGGCTAATAGAGAGGATGGCCTCTCTTTCCCATATCAAGTATGACTGCTCAGCCACTCCTTATTGGCTACATGCCAAGTTGGGCATGTAGTCCCTTAGGTGTACTATTCAGAGACCAACCTAATTTGTAGAAATTGTTCACTGAAGCCCAGGAATAAACTCCTGGCTATTTTCAGACAAAGATAGAGGTAGGAGTCTGTAAAAATGAGCTAGGAAGGAGCTTAAAATACTTCACATTCCAGAAACACTCTCCTTTCCCCCCAGGAGATGGCTTTATTCCCAATCATTTCTCAGCAGAGTTGACTCAAAAGGAGCAGAAACTTGGAGCCAGGCAGCTGGTACTAGCTGTGTGGGCTTAGACAAATGGTTTAAATATCTGAGCTTCAGTTTGCTTATCTGTGAAATGGGGCTGACACAACTGGCTCACTAGTTATTTTAAGGATTAAGATATGCAAACAACTGGCATCAGTGCCTGTCCCCAAGGGTCTCTGCCATTTTATTGAATGCCCGTGAATTCTGTGGAGGTCCAGTAAAGGGAGAAAGTCTTACAAATTAGTAGTCTCTTGATAAAAGGCCTTGAGCTGGGAATATAACTCAGTGGTGAATACTCACTTTGAATGTGCAAAATGCAAAGCCCTGAATTCAATCCCCATTAAAAAAAAAAAAAAAAAGGAAGATAAATGGCCTTAAAAAAGGAGGATAGGGCTGGGAGTGTAACTCAGTGGTAGCATGCTCTGGGTTCAATCTCTAGCACTGAAAAAAAAAATTAACAAATTGGGAGTTTTAAGAAAAGTTTTCCACTATTCTAAGTCTATTTTTATAAAACATCCACTTCAGTTCTCAGTTTGTGAGTAGGGGTAGTGTGGGGTCAAGTGGAAAGTTTACCTGATAAGAGACTGAGCAGCTTGGGATCCAGATTTGACTATGATACTTGAAGCAGAAAACTCCTTGAGTATGAGAGTTCCATATGGCAGATATTGCTTACTTACCAGGTTGTGGTGAGGGGTACCTTATAAATATGAGGAATGAGAGTAGCTTCTTGACCCTAGGAGTTAAGATAAGTAATACCAACCTGGGTCCCAGCTATAAGGTGGGATTAGTAGAGGCCAAGAGGCCTCTCACCTTAATGCTGGTGACCTTTCCAAACAGCAAATTTTTTGTTTTGTTTTGTTTTGATTTTCAGTCCTAGAGGGGGCCTCTTTGGAGCAAAACTATCCAAACCCTGCAACAAATGCTACATAGTAGCTGGCATAGAACATTTGCTCTACTTCATCCCAATAGGTGGCAGGCGCAATGACCCCAAAGACAGTTCCAGCAAGTAGTTTAAAGTGATAGAATTCCATGTTTACTTCCTCCACACACCCTATGCTGACCAAGCAAGCTGATAATTATAATGTAGTGGCTGAGACCTCTGGCTCTGGAGATAGGCAGAGCTGCATTCAAACCCCAACATGCTCATTTAGTATAACTGTGTGACCTTGGTTAGTTTTGTTTACTCCCAAGACCTCAGTTTGCTCATCTTTAGTCCTGGCAACTCTTGGTGGGGCATAATGTGAAAGAGTGAGCAGAATACTTAGACATAGGCAGTGCCCCATGAGGAAAAGTCAGTGATCATTTCTCCCATGTAGCATTTACAGCAAGTTTATGAAAAATATGGGCAAGAAAGAAAGCCTTCATTTTCCTGTCATTCATAGAGGAAGAAAAAAGTCATGTCGCAATGAAAATTCTGAGTTACTGAAAAGATCTCATCAAAAGGTCATCAGTCCCATCCAAGCATCTTGGAAGGCTGAGGCAGGAGAATTACAAATTTGAGGCTAGCTTGGGCAATTTAAGGAGATCCTGTCTCAAAATAAAAAGGACCCGAGCTAGCCAGGCGCAGAGGCACATGCCTATAATCAGAGCAGATTGGGAGGCTGAAGCAGGAGTATGGCAAGTTTAAAGCCAACCTCAGCAACTTAGCAAGGCCCTCAGCAACTTAATGAGACCCTGTTTCAAAATAAAAAAATTTTAAAAAGCTGAGGATGTAGCTCAGTGGTTAAGTGTCCCACCCCTGAGTTCAATCCCCAGTACCAAAAACAAACAAAAAAAGGGCCTCAGGGGTGGGGTTGTGGCTCAGTGGTACAACACTGGCCTAGCACCACATATAAATAGATAAATAAATAAAATAAAGGCCCATCAACAACAAAAAAATATATATTAAAAAGGCGGGGGGGCTAAGTAAGATATATCTCAATGGTAAAGCAAGGCCTATCATATGCAAGGCCCTATCATATGCAAGGCCCTGTGTTCAATCCCCCATACTGGAAAAAAGTAAAAACATAAAGAATATAAGGCTTTATAGTTCAGAAAACAGTTGGAAGTCTACTTCATTTGAAATCTACAACCACTATGTGAAAATAGCATTTATTCCCATTTCAAAGATAAAGAAACTAGCATTCAGCAAGGCGAAGATAAGAGGCCACAGCAGTGGTGGTGCTGGGATTTCAAGCCTACTTTACAAATTCAGCACTCTTTACAATTCACAAGAGAATTTTGTTTTCACCAAGTACTGAGCCTACATTGTTTAGACACGTCTGAAATGGCATTTTAGGAACCCAGAGTGGAATGACCAGGTTAGCAACATGATTGGAGAAATGCAGCCATCTGGATCACTTGTGGCTACCCTGAAATAGCTTTTCTTGATTCAGGAGGACTGGCATTGCATAAGCTGCCACAACTCAAACATATTTGAGAAATCTTTTATTAGAAGATGTCCCAGAAGGCAACAGTTTAAAATCAGGCAATCAGTAATCACAACTAAATACAAAATTTCAGGTAAACTTGCCTTTCAAAATAAAATCAGACCCTTGCAACAGAATTGCCCAGGAGGTTTGTTTTTTTTTTTTTTTCCTTGTACAAAAACAGTTAACACCACTTTGCAAAATGCATACAAAAATACAGTATATAAAAAAAAAGACTCACCCCAGCATAATACCCAGAAGCAGCTTATAAAACACGAGCCATCAAGGTGAGACATTAGTAAACTACTCCCCTCCCCACCTGTCCTCCTAAGACAATTCCAGAAGTCAGCTGGCTCCTGAAAATCCTGCTCCACAAGGTAGAGTGGCTAGTTCCAAAATTTCCACTGGGATTCTGAGGCCAGGAAGCAAACTCAGAAAGAAACCATTGTGGACAGTGGGTTTGGAAATAGCAGCTGGTTTTACAGAGCCTCAAACTGTGCTTTCCTTCCCCCCTCCCCAATTCCAAACCCAGAGCCAGAAGGCACCTGCTGTCCTGGGCAGCAGAGAGGCTGATCCTTCTTCCAGGACAGGCTTAGGGGTTCCTGTGCTTGCCCACATGACATTTGCTGGGTTGGGTGTCTTTCCCAGATTGGAGGCTGCACCTGGATTCCACTTAGAGCTAGAGAGTCCAGCTGGGGCAAAGTCCATTATGGTTGGTTAAACAGAGCTCCTGCAGGCGCTTTTAAGATCCATCAAGAAATAAGTCCACCTTCTGGAGCACTGGATGAGTCCTAATGGCTCTCAGAACCTCAGTAAGGCCCAGATTCTGGGAAAAGGATCTGACTCATGTCAGACTAGCAGGGAACCAGGTTGGTGGCTACAGAGCCAGCAAGCTCCTTGGAGTTGCATGAGAAGGACAGGTTTGCACAGTTCCAGTAGAACTTCAAACGGAGTCAAGGATTGAGATGAGAGGCAGGTAGGTAGAAAGAGGAAGAGTTACAGAGTGCTTCCTTCTGAGGTGCCTTATACCTGCCTTGAGAAAAGATCCCATGATGGGCCTCAAATGCCCCTTGGAAAACACCTGGGCAAGGAACAAGTTCATGGGCCAGGACTCCAAGCCTTTCCCAGGCCCCAAGCCAGGATCCATTTTCCTGTTTCTTGGAGGAAATATTTTGACCTGTGGGAAAGGGTACTGTAGAGCCCATTGCATAACAAAAGCAGAATGAGTAAAAAAAAAGTCCTTTAAGTAAGGACAGAAAGGTCCCTCCTTCAGAGGAGAGGGTCCAAAGGGCTCTAAGACAAAGAATCTGAGGCCAAGCTTTTTAAATGTTCTCAAGGTCGCAGCATTCAGAGTAAGTAGAGAGGTGTCCCCTAACATCATAATATAAACTAAAGGTTTGCACTCTTTAGGTACTGTAAAGTGTCTGACAGTGAGGTAATGGTCCATGTTGTTCAAGTCTGTGAGCTTGCCTTCACCCAAGACAGCTCGTGTGTCTCCTGGAAAAAGGAGCCTCAGGGAGAGCATCCAGGCCCAGCTGTCCTTGCATCACCCCCAGAGACACCAGCAGGAGCATCCTTTCCTAGCCTAAAGCTCCTGCAGAGTGTGAGATTTCATGCAGGCTGGACCCCCCCACCCCCAACATCCACCACCTGTTGCATAGCATCTGTCAGCCTTTTCTTCAGAGCTAGTGAGCTAGGCAGACCCCAAGGCTCCTCAGTCAGCTGCCTACTGAGAAGCCAAAGGCGCCAGAGAGGACACAGCACTCCCATGAGTCAGGAAAGAGGGAGAGCTGTTTCAAAGTTTCCAAGAATGCAAGCCCTTATTGTGTGTGCACTGGCTGCAATGCATTCTGGGATCTACTGTTCAGACTGTCCCACCGTAACCAAAATGTGCAAATTACTAAAGGGGAAAGGGAGGTTAAAAAATACACTGTCTTTGTAAGACAGAAGAGTCAGGCTTTTTGGTCAGTTAGTAGCCACTGAGGTACGCAATTCTTTTCTGCAGTTGCTGCTGCCGGCACCGGAGCTGCCTTTTCTCTGTAGCCATCCTCTTCTCAGCGCCCACCAGGGCTTGCAAGTATTCCAAGGCCTTGCTCAGGATCACTACTTTGGGGGCCTTAGAGCAGCTGGCCAGGGTGGGTACCTGGTCCCTCAGGGCTAAGAACCTAGAGCGGAGGTCATTCCGTCTTTTGCGCTCCAAGAAATTATGGTTCTTCCTCTTGGTCACATCCTCAGTATCAGAACTGACAGGTTTGGGGTGGCAGGACTGAGGAGTCTCACTTTCCACAGGCGGGGGACTCACAATCTCTTCATCCTCTTCATCCTCCTTCTCCTCAGGGGCTTCTCTCTCCAGAGTCTCTTCTTGGGGACCCCTCTCTGGAACCTCTTCTTGGGAGCAACTTTCTGGAGGAAAACGGGCAGCATAGTTGTGCTGTTGCTGATGGATGGAGATGTGGAAGTGTTTCATGCAGGGATCCAAAGGATCTGCTCTCACCGTGATGGTGACTGGCTTCCGTATACCCAGAGACTGTCTCTTCTCCACTGTCACAACATCAATTTCTTCACTCTCTGTCCAAGAGGAGAGATCAAGAAAAGAAATACATCCCATGAGAAACATACGTAGATCCTACAGCTTTAGCTCTCTATGCTGGGACTTAGGAAGATAGATGACATTTTCCCAATTTAGATATCTAGAAATTGAAGTGAGGAGAAAGACAGCTGATTCATGGGGGTAAGGGCAGAGTGAAGGAAAGGAGGGGAAATAAGCAAGAAGAAAAATATTCTCCAATTTCCTTTTGCAAAGCAAGGCTTAGATAAGAACAAAAGGCAGACCCAAGCCAAAAGCCCCCAGTCTGCAAAGGCTCTCCCCTCCCCCACTGAGAGGATAGAGAGAAAGAGCTACCAGCCTGGGACAAAGTTTAGCTATAAAGATCTTCCCCAGTCGGGCTCTTTCATGCCCCATCAGAATTGTAAATGAGGGGTCTGTGGGCAGAGCTGCCCTTTGTTCCTGCCCAGCACAGCCTGCACTTGGGAATTGTTACTTTTCACAAGTTATAAATCCTATTATTCCCCCACCTCTCTATTCTGCCATCTTTTCAGTTGAAGATTCAGAGAGGGAGAGCAACAACTATCCCTCCTCACCCACAGAGGGGAGGGAAAGGTTTTCCCTTAGGAGTATTTTGCTCCTGGGTTCAATGGGTTTCTAAGTCATCCATCATTAATAGGTCCCCTACCCCACCCCCTTTTCTGGACTAGAAGAGAGTTGGAATCATAATCACAGGTCGGGAAAAGCTGCAGGAACTTCACAAAGATAGCGACCATTTCCAAGCAACCTGCATCAGAGGGAGAGAATGTGCAGCAGCAGAATGACCCAGATACCCTGACAAAATACCAGGTATCTGGAGACACCTGATGTATCCTTATCCTTCCCTGGCTAGAAGGTCTGTTAGATTAACCCAACCAAGGGAGAGACAATTGGGGGGGAAACCCTTCTGCTCTCCACATTTTGCAGACCCCACACAGAAGGCCACCTTAATGCATTCCCATCCGACAACAGAAGAGCTCCGTTCTCAGCCTCTTTTGCATATCAGGAAGCTTGAGCCCCTTTGTCAGGAAGGCTTCCATTGTGTGGACAATCGCATTATTTCTCCATTAATAAAACCTGACCATTCAGCCTTCCTGGCCCCAAAGCCTGTGATTGGCTGGCTAGGCTGTGTTTGGAATGCTGTTTTACCCAGCCCCTAACTCCTATTGGCTGAGCTCTGCCGTCAATCACACTCCCCGCCCCCCCTCATTGTTTGCAATCTGTTGCATTTTGTTCTAGGCCATGTGGCCTGAGAGTGAACCAGGAGCCCAGAAACAGGTTCGGGTTAAAGGGCAGGTCAGAAAATGATTTAGGAGGTTTCCCTACATCCCAAACCTTCAATTTCAAACCTCATGGCTGGGATGCCTCTATCTAAAAAAGAAAAAAAATGTAATAAACAATACTCCTTTTCAGAGAGTAGCACCTTATTCTCCCAGTAAAAGCCCTCAGTAGGACAATCAAGTACAAGTACAACCCCCTCATTTGCAAAAAGAGAAACTGAGGTCCGGATCACGAAGTTCACATATCACCTTTGTAATGTTCTGGATCTCAAAATTAGCCTTCTAAAACAATACTCTTTCCACTTTACCACTCCACCAGTCTTTGTAGAGATACGTCTTTATTGATCTCAAGATTCTCATTCCAGACATTAAATAAACACAACCTCTTGGGTGTAACAAGAAAGCAGGTTAAAAATGACCTTAATGCAGGTTAAAAATGACCTTTTGGGGGGTGACTTTTAATTTTTCTTGTTATCTTCATTTTCTTCCTTAAGGGTATGACAATTTCCATGCCCTATTCCCTAATTCCCTCTCAAATGTTCACATAAAAGTTATTCTTAAAAGCTACAGTGAGTTTTCTCTGTCCTGATTTACGTAGGTGTGCAGGCTAGCCTCAATCTACACCCTACAAAAGCGTCTTTCCACTATTTCTCATAGATACAAGTGTCTAAGAGGTTGGGATAAGAATCTGGTGGCATAGGATGCTCTGGTCTGCCCTCATCAAAGTTTGCACTTGCATCAAGGATGGGGGAGGAGTGACTGGAGCTTTAGGACCATGATCCCAGTACAAAGCCCAGAGGGTTGGCACAAAGTAGGACCAGTGAACATTTATTGAATGCAAGAGAGTAGTTGAAGCCCACAGGTATACTGAAAAGGAACTAGAATACCTTTCTATCTTAGACCAAAGCAGCAGGCACAGTGTAGACCTTCTCAGATAAGTGATCATCTAATCATCAAGGAAGTGGTGCCTGACTGGGATGGAGGGTGAGGAAAAGAAGTTGGCTGGATGGCAGGAAGCTGGGCCTCATTTCTAGTAATTTCCTATCTCCCAGCCTCATTTTTTCCATCCCTTAACAGGGAACCTTCATTTCTCCCCTGTCTCACGGGGTGATGATGAAAATGCACAAGTGGTAAGGAGTGGGAGGTGCAGGGGGAGGGCATTATTGGCATTTTAACGTAAAGCAGGCAGGAGATCTAGGTTTTTAACAGAATGAAGGCTTTGCTTTGTACAAAAAGCTCCTCAGTTTCTTCTCTCCCAAGGGGAGTGTGAGTTTCCCAAGGATATCAGGGGAAACAAACAAACAAAAAAAAGCGTCAAGCTTGGAGTGACTCTAAAAGGACCCCTTCCAACCTCCCACGGACAGAAATCCCCTACAGTCCAACCCGAGTATTGTCCTCTCTAAGCGCCAACCCTCACCATGTCTCCCTTGTCCCCCGGGGCTCCAATCATCATCGGAGGGACGCTGGCTCCCTCCCCACTTCTCCAAACTGTTTACCAACACACCCACGTGCCAGACAGACACTGCTAGGGGCTATACAGGGAGCTTCAGGCAGAAAAGGGGGAGGCCACGGAGAAGGACTGAGAAAAGCCAGTGCCTGACCTTAGTGGTAGAGCTTTGGTCACCTATGGGGCGCCCCCCTCTTAGATGGCCCCGGGCGGTCCTTACCCGAGTCGCTTGGGCTCTCGGACCCAGAGCAGGCCTGAGTCTTGGGTTCGCCCAGCTGACAGGGGGTGGCGGGCGCCGGGTTGCCGGCTTCAAGGCTGGGAGTGCAGTCCGGGGTGGCGGGCGCCTTGGGCGGGTTCCCCCGGGGTGCGCCGGGGGTGAGCCGGTCGCTCACCGCTCTCTCCAGCCTTTCCCGGGCAGAGAAGCCGCTCCACATGCAGTCACGGCGGATGATGGAAGCGTAGTTCCTTCCCCAAGCTTTAGAGTGACCCCGAGATTCCGCCTCGTCCCCAGCGCCCCCTCCGGGCCACGGCTCCGGGGGGCCAATCCCAGGGTCTGGGTCGCCGGCGCCGGGACCAGAGCCCCAGGGCGGCGACGTGGGGGGCGACGGCACCAGCTCGAATTTCTTCCAGATGTCCTCGCTGGGCGCCGTGGAGCGGTAGAAATCCTCCCCGCAGTCATAGTCGTAGAAATAGTGCTGGTACGAGTCGAAGTCCATGTCCGCTCCCTGTGGGAGGGAAGGGGGGACGTGCTGACTGAGGTGCTGGCGGAGGAAAGAGGCAACCCGGGTCCCTCCGCACAGGCGGCTGCGGGGCTCTCGTCCTTTCCCAACCCACCGAATTACAGCCCGCCCGCGCCCTGCCCTCGCGTCCCGGGAAGCCTGGCCCTGGGTCAGAGTGCCAAGGGAAGACGATCACAACGCCGCGGACCAGGCTACAGGGAGCGAGTTCAAAGCAAACTTTGCCAGCGCCGCCCGTAGCGCAGCTCCCAGGGCCCGGCGAGGTCCGGCGGGGGCGCGCTGTATCCAGAAGACAGCCTGCAGCCTGCCCGTTCCCCCAGGATCCGCGCCCGTGCCGGGGCCACCCGCAGCCTCACCTCGCTCCCGCCGCCCGCCACCTGGAGCGGACCGGCTCCCCGCCGGCTCGGGGCAGCCCGGCAGCCCGCACACACACACATGCGCGCCACCGAGCGCGCGGCCCGCACTCACGAGCGCGCCCCGCGCTCGCGCGTTCCCCGCCTCGCCTGCGCACGGCGGCTCGGACGCTCCCGGGATCGGCGCGGGAGCGCGAGCTGCAGGCGCATTGTTTCCCGGCTGCCTTATATCTCGTCGCGCGCTCTGGGCTCCGGGACCGGGAGGTGGGTCCTAAGGGACAAGCTCCGCCCCCGATCCGCCCCTCTCCCGCCAGTCGACAGGTGGGGACATCCCCACCTCCTGGCTGCATTCCCTGGCTCTATTCTACGCCTTGTAGCTTCCAAATAAATTGCACGCTGGGGAGAGCAGAGCTGGAGGCGAGGTGATGCAGCCCCGGGGTCGCCTGGTAGAGCAGCGAATCCTTAGATTCGCTCACGGATCTCGGCTGGCCGAATAAGCCGCTCCCGGCCTCTTTGGGCTGGGAATAAGGCTACTCTTCGCCTTGACCCCACTAGCCTTTTCCCCCAGGCGTACCCCGCTGGGTTCAGGTGCGTCCTACCAGCGGGATGGCTGAGGGGAAAGGGGGGTTGGGGGAGCAAAGGCAACTGCACTTCCACCACGCCACCTGGCGGCACGCATACACGAATTGGGTCTGCTTCTTCACCCGTTAACTCATTTCTTTAGCTTGGTGGCCCAAACCCAAACGGCAGTGAAGGGAAGTAGTGGGGATTCTGGGCTTTGGAACCTGCAACGTAATATTCTTCTTCTTCTCCTTCTCCTTCTCCTTCTTCTTCTTTTTTTTTTTTTTTTTTTTTTTGTACCAGGGATTGAACCCAGTGACGCCTAACCACTGAGCCACATCCCAGACCTTTTTATATTTTAGTTAGAGACAGGATCTCACTAAATTGCCTAGGCCTCGCTAAATTGCTGAGGCTGGCCTTGAATTTGCGATCCTCCTGCCTTCTCAGGCTCCCAAGCCGCTGGGATTACAGGCATGAGCCACCGCGTTGGGCTGCAACGTAACCTAGGTTATGATTTCACCTGTAAAATGAGGGGATGGTAATACCTCACAGGGTACTTAGGAAGGTTTAAGAAGATACAATACCTAAGGAAGGGGACTGCACCAGGAGGGAGGCTAGTAGCACTGGCTTAATCCCCTCATCCCCTGCGACATTTTTCCTTCAGGGAAAGGTCAGGGCTTACACCCCTCACCTTCCCTCAAAAACAAAACAAAATAAGCAAACAAAAAACACTGCATTGAACCTTTTCTAGTAGAAAAAATAGAAATAGAAAACAGAATGAGGCAGGAGGATCGCAAGTTTAAAGCCAGCATCAGCAATTTAGCGAGGCCCTAAGCAATTTAGCAAGACCCTATCTCAAAGTAAAAAATATGAAGAACTGAAAATGTGGTTCAATGTTTAAGTGCCCTGAGTTCAATCCCCGGTGCAACGGAGTTGGTGCTATCTGGAAGTCCAGAAACTTCCTTCAAATCCTTGCTTAGCCACTTGCTGTTTAAAGCTTTGCCCCCATTTTTGACCAAGATGATGAACATAAAATTCCTTTGTGTGATGGACACGTAATTCCTTAGTGTTTGCCATCTTGGTACCCTATGTCTTGAGATTTAAGCCAATAAATCTAAGGATAGTAGCCAATACATATAGAATCCTCTACCTGGCACTAATGTGGTTGTGTGCCTTTCTTTGCCTGCTTGCATGCTCTCCCTCCCTTTCCTTCCCACTCTGTGGTTTAATAACACCAAATTACTCACATTGGCATGCCAGCAGGCTGGAGAAGAGGACTTTCAGGTGTGAGTTGATGTATGAGTTGGGAAGAGAAGGCAGGGAAGATTACACCCTCTGTTTGGAGTTCTTGGGTCTAAGGTGCATGTGGAACATCCTAAAGACAGGAATCCTTACTTACTCTGTAATCTCTGCACCTAGAAGGGTTTCTTGCAGATATTTATGAATTGACTTACTGAATTACCCAGCCAATCAGATTTTATTGAAACAGCTTATATGCCCTGCTCTGTGCTGAACTGGAAAGCCCAGAAAATGGGGTGTGTGTGTGTGTGTGTGTGTGTGTGTGTGTGAGAGAGAGAGAGAGAGAGAGAGAGAGAAGATGGACACAATACCTTTATTTTATTTATTTTTTATGTGATGCTGAGTATTGAACCCAGTGCCTCACATGTGCTAGGCAAGAACTCTACCAGTAAGCTACAACCCCAGCTCCCGGAAAATGTTCTTAAATTTGGTTACAGCCTCAGAAAGAAGGATTGGACTGTCTTTTGGTGACTTGCTTTCTGGTTCAGAGGTGTCTGGAATGGGTTTGATATCAGTAAAAGTTCTTGGTTATAAAAGAGAGAAACCAACCTTACCTACATTTAAGCAGAAAACTGCTTTATTGAGAGAATTTGTGGTATAAAATTCATGGGAGGCTTGGAATCTATGCTTGGAGAATGGATATTCTTTACACTGGAGCCCCTACTCAGCAACCCTTCCTCATTCTCGTAGATGATATCTAGAGGCAATGAGGACAGGGATAAATGTCAGTCTTGTTCACTATCATAATCCCAGAGCTTAGAACAGAACCTAGTATATCATGCATGGGTGTTTAGTAAATATGTTGCCTATTTGACTGAACACAAACTTATAATACTTTAGCATAGAGATGTGCCAGTTTGTCTGGTGGAGACAATAACACTCTGGCCCGGTCTAGACAATAGCCTGATTAAAGGTATTAATGTAGTGCCAGGCACAGTGGCATGCAACTATAATCCTAGCTACTGAAGGGGCTAAGGAGACTTGAGCCCAGGAGTTGGAGGCTAGCCTGAGCAATATAGTTCACTCCATCTCAAAAAAAAAAAAAAAAAAGTATTAATATCACTAAAGAAAGTGCCAGTCAGGAGGGAGTGGGTAGCCAAAAAAGCCAGAGATCAGGGAGAGTTGCCAAGGTAATCATTCACAGTTTCCATCATAGCACTCTCTGGGGACAAAAATGCTGGTCTAGGAAGAGGGGAGATGGAGGCATCATTCTTTGAAGCCACCCAGTTCATCCCCCACTTCACTCATGCTCTGGATCACCAAGCAACCCTTCTGATAAACCATTCTGTTCCCCATGTAGATCCGCCCACAGGGAGTGAATGCACTCAGCAGTGAACAGGAAGATCCAGTCTGCTTCAAAGCCCTGCTTCCCCTTATAAATTAATGAATTGGCATCTTATTTGAAATATCAGTCTCATGAGCCTGGTTAATGTGTGTCTGTTCCATAGAGATGCTGCTGCTTTTAGGACTAACAACTGTGGTTTCTGAGCTAATGTCTGGACCCAGAATGGTGATAAATTCACCACGGTAACAAATGCTACTCTAGGGATATCCAATTTAGCTGCAATCTTTAAAATTTCCTTTATTTTTCTTAAAACTTTTTTTTGTCTATAGAGGCATTTTATTTGTATTATCTATTAAATCCCTGGAAACAGAATCCCAGGATTTTCCCTCCTGTATGTTTTTGAGTTGTTTCTTTGTGGTCTGTGATGCCAGCTGACGTTGTCAGTATAATGAAACCAAACTGACAGGAGGGAGCAGATTTTTCTGCCATTTTTCAAGACCTTTGCACATCAAATCTGGGGATGGTCTCTCCACACTTGTTTAGCCTGCCTGTGAGGCTCACAACAATTTTCCCAGCTCCACAGTCATCAATAATTTCAAATTAGCAATGTATCTTTTATTTTGCATTATATTCAGAAATTGGAAAATGACTTGGGAGCACAGTCTAATATCATCCTGGCATTTTCCTGGCACAATGGTGCACACCTATAATCCTAGCCACTTGGAAGGCTGAGGCAGGAGGATCGAAAATTTGAGGCCAACCTGGGCAATTTGTCAAGATCCTGTCTCAATTTAAAAAATAAAAAGTTTCAGGAATATAGCTCAGTGATAGAGTGCCCCTGGGTTTAATTCCTAAGGCAAACAAAACAAAAACCATCCAAACCCTGGCATTTGCCTCTTTTCTTCAGCATTTTCTTTTTGGTATGGGGGATTGAACTCAGGAATACTTGACCCCTGAGCCACATCCCCATCCCTGTTTTGTATTTTATTTACAAACAGGGTGTCACTGAGTTGCTTAGCGCCTCGCCATTGCTGAGGCCAGCTTTGAATTTGCGATTCTCCTGTCTCAACCTCTGGGTCTGCTGGAATTACAGGTGTGCACCACCTCGCCAGGATTTTTCTCAACATTTTCAATCTTATTGAGAACATTATCTAGGATATTCATGTGCACATATGCACCATTAGGTAGCATAGAAAGATGACAGAAAAGAAAGAGCTATAACATATCTTTAATCTTTTTTTTTTTTTCCAGTGCTGGGGATTGAACTCAGAGTCTCATGCATGCTAGGCAAGCGATCTACCACAAAGCTACATCCCCAGGCCCCTAAAACATATTTTTAATCACAATAATACATGTGCATAGTTTTTAAAAATATCAACTAGACTTATGACAACATTAAAAAAAAAATCTTGGGCTGGAACTGTAGCTCAGTGGTAGAGTGCTTGCCTAGCTAGTGTAAGGCACTGGGTTTGATTCTCAGTACCACATAAAAATAAATAAAATAAAGGTATTGAGACCCTGTCTCTAAATAAGAAATAAAAAAGGTCTGGGTGGTTAAGGACCTCTGGGTTCAATCCCTAGTACCAAAAGAAAAAACAAGTATAAGTAAGGAAATGTAGTATACTTGTAAACTACAACTAAAAAATATATATATTAAAAACAACAACTCAGTCTTCTGTCCTGCCTTTGCTACTTCTGATTCCTGCTCCCAAAAGCTGTTTTATTTTTTCCTAACACTTTCCATATTTTGAGCAACACAGATAATCTTTTTTAAAATTTCTATTGATATCCTACAATAAAAGAAGATAGCTCTTATACTTCCCTTCTCTCCCTCCATACTTGGTCTTCTCTTATTCTTCCAGTAGAATTATAATTCAATTTTTCTTTTCTTTTTTTGGTACTAGGCATTGAACTTAGATTGAACTTAGGGACACTTTAC